TATATATATATATATATATATATATATATATATATATATATATATATATTTTTTTTTTTTTTTTTTTATATACATATATATGTGTATATATGTATATATATATATATATATATATATATATATATATATTTTTTTATATACATATATATGTGTATATATGTATATGTATATATATATATATATATATATATATATATATATATATATATATATATATATATATATATATATATATATATATATTATATATATATATATACACACAAACACATATACACATATACACATATATATTGCTCTCAAAATTAGGGTCAGCAGTTAGGTCAGCATTTTGCATTGCTGACTTAACTGCCAACCTAAAAGTGTTTGAAGTTGGCAATTTTTTGTAGATCATTTTTCTATACTGGTGTTATAAATTTGAATCTTTCAAAAAAATTTTATAAATTTTTTTTTGGGTCTCAATACAAGTACATTCATTAAGTCTCACTTTACTTTTAAGTTCATAGCATGCATCCTAAAATTCTTTTACGCTTATTATTGGTCAAATTTCTTACTTTGCTTTTCAATGTGACTCCAATACCATCAGCTACTCCTTTTCCATGTTTTACTGCTAAGAAGTTCCATTAAATTTTTCGAAAAACTGTTTCAGTTGTGTTATAAAATGTATTATAAACTTAATTTTGAATTGTAGGAGTAGAAATTTATATTTGTCACTGTTTCCAGAAAGATTTTAATGATCTCTTTCAAAATTGGAGAGACAAGAAATTTGCCATAGTTTTAAAAATTTGTTTTACAAATCTGTTCATAGTTTATAAATTTGTTAGTCTCTGCATTGTGCGCATTCTGTACATGGCACTCATTCTGTGCTCACTCATTTTTAAAGCATTCTGTAGATGGCACTGCACAGGTTAGTTATTTGTCAAATGCATTAGTATGTGGTTTTTGCGAAAAAAAATTTGCCTCATAGAGAGCTTCAATCAAAAATTTCATGTTTTCGTAGTTGTCACATATACCTTTTCTTGAGGTTTCTTAGAGAAAATAATAACATGTTCTTAGCATAAACAATAAAAAAACAATTAATTAACTTTCAAAATTGGATGTCTAATTTTGAATTGATTGCAGGCTTCTTTAACAAAGTATATCAAAAATCTTCTTGCTGTCAAAACCACCAAACCAACATACACCACTAAACCACCTTTCTTTAACATCTAGAACATTATTGGCATCACAAGCACATGGTTAAACTCGGCTGATCTCATTTGATTCATATAAAAGACAGACTTTATTTTGCACAAGAAACTATCAAATTACTAAAGACTTATACTTACTGATGACTCCACCATTGCTTTGTAATTTTTCTAAAACAACTAGCTGCTTTCGTGGTGAAGATGGCTAAGTCGCATTACATTACATCTTTACTGAGAACTTGTAGTGATGTAGGGATATTCCTTCTTTTTTTTGTTGTTGTTTTATCTTATCACAGTACTTTATAGGACAGATTTTTGCTTTTTCTTGTTTTTTTTTTAGAAATTCCGCTTGTTCTTTTGCCGGCTTTTCTTGAAGTTTTTTTTCTTGAATCTTGAATTTTGTTCTTTAGCTTCTTTATTTAGTTGGTTTTGGTTCTTTGGGCTTCCTTCTTACAATATCGAGCTAGTTTTACTGGATCTTTTTTCAAGCGTTCTGAATATTCTCTTTGTTGTTGATTTTCTGGATTTATTTTTACCAAACTAAGAAAATGTGTTTCTAATATAATTTAATAATTTACACAAAATTAAAAAAAAAAAAAAAAGATTTAATATTTGTTTGGACTTTTTGCAGTTTAATAAAAAATTTTGTAAAAACAAGAAAAAAATGAAGAAAAACAAAACTAAGAAAATACATTAAGTCAATTTTTCATATTTTCTGTTATTATTTAATTAATTTAAAAATATTTTAATATCTTTAAGAAATATTTATTTTTCATTAAAATAACTTGATAATAGTGTAAGTTATTCATCCTGTAAAAAAAGTTATTAATGTTTATTTCTATATAATTATTGTTATTGCTATTGTGCTTAATCAGAAAATAATTCTTATGTTTCAACCAGTTTTAAAACATTGTTTCATACAGCCTTGTTCTAAAAATATTATTTCAATCTACTCTATTCTCTATATTCAATACTTTTTAGTTCATTTTCTGATATACCTTTATAAGTATTTAAAGATAATGGAAAAACAATTTTCTCACACAGCTGTGTCAATAGTTTTTTATAAAGATTAAATAGCATCATCTTCAAATAGTTAGCATTCTTGAATTTTGAGCCATTTCTCAAAGCAAAACTTTTTCTCAATATCGGGTGGACACGGAAAAATCCGGTCAACTTTAAATTGAGATTTCTCTAAAACCATAAATGCTTTTTATTTCAATTTTTTTATTATTAAATGTGTTTACATAAATTAGAGTTTCAACTTAATTTTAAGGGGCTTGATGGCTTGCTTGGCAAGAAATTGAACTTTATAGCGGGTTGATGCCATCATTTTACAGATTTTTTTCTTTTTTTAACCATATTGGTGGCATTAATCCACTTTTTTTGGAAGTCCTTTTTATTATTTGTTAGTCTACCTGTCTTACGAAGAACTCCTTTAACTATTGCCCAAAAATCTTCAATCTTGCGCTCTTCAGGACGATTTGGAGGATTCGCATCTTTAGGAACAATTTTCACATTATTATCTTTGCACCACTGTAAAACTTTTTTAGAATAGTGAGAGGCAGCAAGATCGAGCCAAAAGAGACATCGGTATTAGTGTTTTTTTATAAAAGGCAAAAGTCTTTTTTGGAGGCATTCTTTGATGTAGAGATTGGCAGTCAAGGTCTTTTTAGTGACAAAACAAGAGGACTGCATACCACAGCTACAAATTGCTTGCCACACAAGGAACTTGGATGCAAATTTTTCTCATTGAATATATTTAAATTGATCATCAACAGGTTTATCTTTGTTTTCATAGTAAAACTGTTGACCAGGAAATTGTGAAAAATCTGCCTTGCAATACGTTTCGTCGTCTTCAATTATGCTCATATTTTTATCCGCCATTATTTTAACCAACTTCTTTGCGCGTTGAATTCCTTTAATTTCACAATTTAAGCTTCTCTTTGGTGTATTTTTTTATTATGAAATGCTTTAATTCCAGCATTTTTAAGTACTTTTTTGATATAAGAACGAGAAGTCTTAAATTTTCTTGCTAGATCTTGCTGTGACTGATTTGGATTTCTTGCTATTGAACGTAAAATTGACTTTACCTTTTTGGATTTATGGAAAGTTTTTTTTCTTCCACTTCCAAGTTTTCTTTCGAAGCTTTGAGTAGTCTTGAACTTGTTTATAATATCTATGACTGTAGATTTTGGGACATTTGTGGGTTTAGCAATCAAGCGATAGGAAGTCAATGGATTTTTGCAAAAAAAATTCACAACTTTTTTACGCACCTCAACTTGTTTCCAAAACATTTTGCAAATCATTAATTTGTAAACAAAAATTTATCAACACCATTTAAGGTAAAGAAGTAAGGTTTAATTAAAAAAAAAAGTTAAATAAAAAGCATTTGTGGTTTTGGAGAAATCTCAATGTAAAGATGACCGGATTTTTCCGTGTTCACTTGATATAAAAACAAAATTCTGATTTTTTTTTTTTTTGGAGTTAATAATATAATTGGTTTACTGCAATTGTGACTCTTCCTAAAAGGAGAATTTCTATATCTACAACTTCTTTATAATTGTGTGATATTTAAATATAATTTAACATATTCTTCAATAAAATGCAAGTTTTATTTGCTTGTTTTTTTTAAGGAAAAAATTTTATTTTCAATATTGAAAAATCTAATGGAAGTTTTGAAAGAAATTTTTCCAGAGTGAAGCCATTCCTTTTGAAATTTGAACATTGTAATAATGTATATTAACATCAGATGTTGTATTTTTGAAGTATGTCTTTCAAAATTGATCCAAGGATCAATTCTATAATGAATACAAGTCAGAGAAGCTTAGAGAAAAATATTTGCTGCTCTGTTTTTTATGTAAATATGCAGTTGCATCAAAAACTTAATTAATGTTCAACAATAATTAATAGTCAGCAATATTATCCTTATGATCTCTCTAAATCTTCTATAGCTTCTATAATCACACTTACCTAATTGAATTGGTTTAATATTTAAACACTTAAAATAGTCAAACCTATGAAGAGAGTTTCGTTTCATAGGTTTCCTATCCCAACGAAGAGTTTAATAATCTTACTTAAGTTTTGTTTTAAGTTCTGTCAAAAAATTTCTTGCCATGATTTACATATGTGCTCTTCGAATTGTGTTTATTAAATTGTCCACATCTTTTGCTTTAACACATAAAAAGTTTTAACACCAACTAAAAAATTTTAGGGCTTTTTGCACTTCTCAAGAAAAAAAAGCAACAACCAAAAACCAAGATTACAGAAGACCACTATTAGCTGTGCATTTGATAGTTTAGATCTATCAATTTTTAATGTTATCATTGGATGACAAAGTTTCTTGGTAAGACTATTGTGTTATACAACATTTTCCATAGTTTCTATAGATGTTTTAAACTTATTTACTTTATAATGAATTTAAGGAGAGCTTTGAGAATCAGAACACTATAAAGGAGAGCTTTGAGAATGAAAACTCTTCTAAAGGAGACCTTTGAGAATCAGAACACTTCTAAAGGAGAACTTTGAGAATCAGAACACTTCTAAAGGAGAGCTTTGAGAATCAGAACACTTCTAAAGGAGAGCTTTGAGAATCAGAATACTTCTAAAGCAAAAATTTGTTTTTCAGTTGAGTCACTACTATTTATACCAACACTGAAATCAGTTTCTTTATCATTAAATTTGTATCTCTCTTCCATTATCATTTTTATTATTATCATTTTCTTGTTTTCTATTTTTTATGAAACGTAATTCTAAAAATTTATTTTTCCCAGTTAAGGGGTGGACTTTGAAGTAAAAACAACATGTTCAATAAGCATAGATTAAAGTTTAAATAAGAATTATGAATTTATATGAAATATTTTCCTGCATCTAGTTTTCATGTTGATAAGCTCAGTCCAGGTCACTTTTGACCTTCCAGTTTTTATTCCACTTTTGTGAGCTGCAATCCAGGTTATGCTTTTTCTTTATATTTCCATTTTATTTTTTTAACATATTCTTTCTAATTTGCAGAACTAGTATCAAAAATTGTTTGTTTCAAAATCACCCATAATTTGTTTGAAACCCTGAATAAATGAATCTTTTTATTTAATTTACTTGCAAAGTCTAAATTTTCCCTTTAGACTTAGAATTACATTTAGATTCTGAAAATGTCGTATAAATTAATGTAACAAAAATAGGGAAACAATTTGTTATCTAAAAACTCTATAATATAATATATAATATGTGAAAGTATACTAACTTTTTAATATAAAAATCTAGATAAAGGTATGTTTTGTTGATATACATTTATCGTTTAGTTTTAATCAAATTTAGCACAAAGGTTTTTTCTTAAAATTTTCTTTAATATGAACACAACTTGTCTCAGCATCTAGGCATCCCTTTAAGTTTACCGTAGTTAATAATACAAGACTTAAGTGTTTAATAAACTTAATTAGTACTATTTTAGTTTTGCAAACACTGCGCTATTTTAAATATTGATTAAAATTTGTTAAAAGTATTTTTAAAATTTAATAACTACTAAAATTAAAATCTTAAATAAAGTAAAATAAAGTGTAAATAAAGTAAAAAATTAAAATATTTAAGACTTAAGCCTATGCCGAAAGAAAAAAATCGGTATTTCCTAATAAGCTCTTACTTGTTGTCTATTCTAGATAAAAATGGCTTAATTTTCCAAAACTCTGTTTAGTTTTCATCAATTGTCAAAGATTAACCACGACTTGTCTGTTTTTAATGGAGCCAAACTAGGAAGTTCATCTTTACTGAAGTTGAGGCTTTTCAATACAGCTTGGTCCATTAGCAGGCGCTCTAAAGTAACTGTTTCTTGGACATCTTTGTAATCCATTTCTTAGTGATATCACCAAAAAACTATTTACAAAAATGTCCAAGTGATAGTTAACATTCTTTATCTGCTAAGGTAAAAACTACCAAAGTGAGATCCAGATACCAAGTACGTCTGAGAACAGAGCTTGTAAAATAGCTCGAGAGCTAAGTAGGTTCCATTCCTCAAACCTTTTTATTTGCCAGTAAGCTTTAATATTTTAATAAATAATATTAACTAACATTTTGAATCTTTTTTTTTTTTTTTTAATTTATATTTGGGATTTCATTCATAAAAAGATAAAATTTTAAATAGTATAAACCTTTTTCATGAATCTAGAGTGGTGAATTAAAATTCCTGTAAGTGAAATTTAAACCTATTTGATGATAGAACCGTTAAAGTAAGTTGAGCTAGCTCATGGCATACTTTTTATGTTTTTTTTTTTTTTTTTGCTTTATTATTTCCATTCTAAAAGGTTTTTTAGATATTTTAAATTTATAATATATTTATAATATATAATATAGCTATAATTAGTAATTTCAAAATTTTAAAACAAGCAGATGATATTCTAATTTTTAATCAACAATTATTAAAAATAACACCTTAACATATTAAAATTGATAACATTACAAAATTGAATAGCACCTTATTTTTGATTATCTATTGTTCAGGTGCTTTTTTCAGGTTAGTTGCTTTCTCTCTGTTAATTCATAATTTTTCCATCAAAGTCATTGTAATCATTAGTCATTTATCATAAGTTAATCTGATGTTTTTTTTTATGTTTTTTTAATTTCTTTTACCCTGGCAGATATTATGTTCTCTTCAGCTCTATATGGTGTTGATTTAGAAAAATTTAAGTTTGCTATAGAACCATAAAACTACTAATCAATACTGTATGGTATGGGGTTGTAATACCCTCTTCCACTGCTGTATTAGTGGTAGACTGAATGATACTTATAGGTAAAAAAACAACAACAAAGTTTTAAACTTTAGGATGCTCATCAAAGTCTAAGTCTGTTTCTTTGCCTAATTCATTCTTATATCTCTTGTTCTCTGCTTTTTTTACTTCTTCCTACAGAATGCTTATATCGTTTACTTTAAGGACTTTTATATCCCTAAGTCTTTTATAAAAGCATCTTCTCACTTAAATATACCACAAGGATGTTCTCCATATTGAAATACTTTATTTGTTATTTCTTTAAGAAAATTAATTTATAGAAATATTAATTATTTGTAGCCAATAATTATTTAAAATACAATATGCGTTATTTTTAGCGCATTTAAATCATGTTACTAACAGTACAGTTGCTAGTAGTAAATATATGTTATTTTTAGCGCGTTTAAATCATGTTACTATTAATGCATTAAAAATATGTATTTTTTTTAATGCACTCAAATCATGTTACTAATATTTTCAAATATTTTTAGTGCATTCAAATTATTTTGCTAATAATTTGAAATATTTTTAGTGCATTCAAATTATGTTGCTAATAATTTAAAATATTTTTAGCACATTCAAATTACTTTGCTAATAATATAAAATATTTTTAGTGCATTCAAATCAGATAATGTTGTAAAAGCATTGTTTTCAAATGAGTATTTAAATGTAAGAAGTATTGCTTAGTTTTTTAATGACATTTTTATTTTTAATTTTGCAATTGTTAATTTAATAAAATCATTTACCTAATATAGTCTTTAATAATTGATGTAATAATCTACTGATACTCTCTACTTTTTATCTACTGATGTCTTAATCAACTTGTTGTCTGTTACTTTTTGTTGTTTTAGAATAAAGATGTTTACATCAATAAAAGTATGTTTTTAAAGATGTTATCAGTTAACCAATAAAAAAGTTTAAATGATTATTAATTAATTTGAACAATAGAAAGTTTATATCAATAGAAAGTTATTATCAACTCAATAATACTCTCATTTAATTTTTATTTAGAGCATTCAATGTGGCTTCAACAACAACCTCCTTTAAGTGATGCACAGTTATCTAATCTATTCCTCACTACCCATCATTTTGAAGTATTTTGAAATTCTTAATATTTCTCTTAAGTTAAACTAACAATTATTCAAGTTGTTAAATTAAAGTTATTTTATATGTATAAACCAAAGAGAGAAAACATCGCTGTGGTGTGGCCTATTCATCTAAACTATGTTTCATTTTTATCATTTTTATTCATTTTTATCTAAACTCTTTGACTACTAAACTGAAATTTTAACAAGCCTGCTTCATTCAGAAAGTTGACATAATTGCTGGTGATATTGTGTGATATTTATTCCTTATATCATCTGTATAATTTTAGGTTTATGTCTAGTTGCTCTTCAGACAACTAAAACATTGCTAATATTTTAATTGGTTTATGCCCTATGAGTTCCATACCATTCCTAATATCAATCCACATTTTATCATTTTTTTAGGTAGAGCAAAAATTTATGTATGCCACTAATGACATTAGAGTTTAAAAACAAAATGTGTTTTATTTTCTTTTCAAATTGCGTTAAAACTTATTGTTTTTATTTTGTTTACAAAATTAAAAACGATAAGTTTTAACGCAAGTTAAAGCACAGTTGTTGAGTACTTCTACTTTCATTTGATGAACAGTTAATAATGTATTTTTACCAACTTTTTTTGGTGTATCCCATCAGGTGCATTTGTTATTTGATGAACATTTAATAATTTATTTTTACCAACTTTTCTTGGTGTATCTTATCAGGTGCATTTTTTATATCTAAGCTTTTGGTATTATATTATTGAATTGTCAGTGTAGCAACTTTTTCAAATTCTCAATAAGTTTTAACTTAGTCTTTTGAATTTTTTATAAGTTTTGTCTTTCAACACAACACAATAATGTACACATGAACAGCGCAGTTTTGCTTTGAATTTTAAATATCCATGTTTTGCTGGTTATAAAAGAAAAAATTAAAATCTAAATTTTTTTTTTTTTTTAATTATCTTCGCTTACAACAAGGCTGCAAGCAACCATTAATTAGTGTTGCAAGTTACTGGAAGAGAAAAGATGAAGATTGGAGAGCAAGATAACAATTGACAGACGACTTAAAAGATTGCAAATTATATGAATCAGGAAAGCAAGATGAAGGAAGCGAATTCCTAAGAACTGATGTTCGAGGAAAAAAACTAGACAAATAAGAGTTTTTGGAGCACTTAGGAACAGTAACAGAAAAAGGATGAGACTTAATTGAATGACGAGTAACACGAGAATGAATTTTAGTAGATGGCACAAGAGTCGCTAGCTCTTTAAAACAGTGCCCATTATAGTATTTGTAAAAAAGAGAAAGAGAAGCAACATTACGACGATGTGACAGGTTAAAGGTTGGCTGCAAGAGCAGGTCCAACTATGTTTACAATGCGTTTTTGCACCTTGTCTAAAAGGGCATCATTAGAAGATCCACCCCAGATATGGCAACAGTATTCCATACAAGGTCGAATTTGAGATTTATAAAAATAGAGAATAGAATCCAGAGTAAGAAAGTGACAAGCTCGATAAAGAGAAGCAACTTTAGCAGATGCTAATTTTGCAATGGATTTGATATAAGGTTTCCAAGAAAGATCAGAAGTAAGAGTTAATCCTAGAAGATAAAGGGTAGGAGACTCATCGAGTACATTACCGTTCATAAATATAGGAAGGTCTAAACTATTGCGATAACGATTGGCCGAAAAAAATTGAGTTTTATCTGAATTAAAGTTCACCAGCCACTGTGAGCCCCATGCTGTAGCAAAAGTGAGATCCTTTTCAAGCTCAGATGCCCCCTGCAAGCAATCAGAGGGAGTTGGCTTCCTATCGTGACAAGAATAAATGGTAGTATCATCAGCAAACAATGCCACCTTAGATGTGAGAATATCTGGAAGATCGTTAATGTAAATTAAAAAGAGTATAGGGCCAAGGATTAAACCTTGAGGAACCCCTGAGGTTACAGAATAAGAAGAAGATTTTATACTACTTTTATACTACGATTGGAAAGGAAGGATTCAATAATCTTAAAGATGTTTCCAGATACACCATAAGAAGAAAGCTTATGGAGAAGACCAGCATGCCAAACTTTATCAAACGCTTTAGAAATGTCAAGAGCAATTGCCTTAACCTCTCCACCTTTATCTAATGCGCAATAAAACCTATCGGTTATTACTGATAGCAAATCAGCCGTAGAACAAGAAGATCGAAATCCATATTGATGATCAGAAAGTAGGTTATGAGATTCGAGATTAAGTGTTTGTTAATTAAAGATTCAAAAACCTTTCTTATGATAGGAAGAAGACTAATGGGACGGGAGTTAGATGAATCAGATCGCTCTCCAGAATTTTTTTTAAAAATAGGGATAACAGATGCTGCTTTCCAGCAGGCTGGAAAACAAGACTCTGATAAGCACTTGTTAAATAGTTTTGAAAGGATAGACGACAGCTCCAGAGAACACTTCTGCAAGACTATAACAGGTATGTTGTCCGGGCTGCAAGCTGTAGAAGAGTCTAAGCGGGAAATCACTTTAGATACAAAAGCTGGAGTGATACGAATGTTGAGCAATGGATCAACCTGTTTGACGGCTATATCAGGTAGAACGCAACTAGTGGCATCAAGAGATGATATTGATGAAAAGTTCTTGGCAAACAATTCAGCTTTGTCTTTAGGTGAGGTGACAAAGTCTGAACCATACAAAAGAGGTGGAATTACAGACTTGCCCTTATTATTGATACTATTAAAGATTCTCCAGAACTTATGAGAGCCTAATTTTTGTGATGAAATACGAGATTTCATTATCTGAGAATAGCGAGCTTTGGCGTTAGACAAAACCTTTTAACAATGGTTCCTAGCAGTAATAAACAGACGTCTGTTTTCTGGAGAATTGTTTTGCTGATAGATATGGAAGTAATGGTTTCGATTGGCAATTGCAGCAGCACAATGTGAGGAAAACCATGGAGAAGAGTGAGGCTTGACCTGGAATCGTCAAGAGGGAATAAAAGATTCCATGCCAGCCTGAATCCACGAAGTTATGTAAGAAGCACATTTGTCAACAGGGAGACGAAAGATTTCTACCCAGGGGCCATCACAAAGAAAATCACAGAAAGAGTCCCAGTCAGCTTTAAGGTAGTTGTAAGATGTACGATGATAGGGGGATTCTGATGGTAAAGAAGAATGAGATAAGAGTTTTAGAGAGACCAAACCATGATCAGACACACCTAAGGGTGAGTGTGAAGAAACTGAACACTGACTAGGATCAGAAACAAGACATAAGTCGAGTAGAGAAGGTAAATGATTCGGGTTGTCTGGAAAGCGAAAAGGAAAGTTGACTATTTGAGTTAGGGATTGAGAAAGACAAAAGTTGTGGGCCTTAATGCCTGCAGAGTCAATGACACTAGAGCCAAGCCATTCAGTGTGATGAACATTAAAGTCACCGACAACAACAATATTGGCTGATGGATAAAGAATGAGGGCTTGGTCAATATAATCAGAAATAACATCAAGAAGAGTGCAGTCTTGAGATGAGGGAGAGCGATATAGAACAAAGAGGAAGGTGATAGAGTGAAGTGGTGCTAAACAAAAGCACATAAAAGAGTAGTCTGTGGATTCAAACCTAGTTTCCCGACAAATGGGTGAATTCTTACGAATGTAAATGCCCAGGCCAAGCATGTGACTATTGGAGTCTTTACGAATTAAAGGAAGATAACCATCAACACTAAGATCACAAGATGAGACAGCTGAACTCAAATTAGTCTCACAAAGAGCAAGTAGATCTGGTGAACTTTGCAAGAGATAAGACTCAACAGAAAAAAAGTTACTTCGAAGACCAGGAATATTGGTGAATGATAGGTTTAGCGAACTTGGTAATGACTGTGGTTTTTTGTGTTTTATAGTTTTTGTTACTTTATTCATTTTTAAATTTGTTAAAGAACTTGACTCGAAACATAGATAGTACTCAGTACACTGTTTTGTTGCCCAAGCAGTTGCCTTATTTCCTTTAATAAACCCTAAGCCGTAACAAAGGGCTCTAATGTGGCCTTGGCAATGCACACCAAAAGTACAAACAGGGACACCATCCATGCGCAACATGGCACTGTTAGTACTCTGACATTTTTCAGCTGTTGATGGAATCAGCCTCTCTGAGAGCTACCACAGAGTTCGGGAAACCTGACTACCAGCCGGCCTCAGAACCATAATACTGAGTTTTAGAGCTGTACCCTCATTTGGAGATAATAGAATGAGTTGCCTAGTCATAAAAACATAGACAAAAGCAAAACCCATGAATTGAGTCAAGAAGATCCAGCGTTCAACATCCTAAACTGGAAACAATGTATTAAAAATACATCTTCGCCAGCCTAATAGATGAAGAAGGGGTGCGAGGCTGGTCAACAGACAGAATCTGTTTACCCCTTAAATCTTTGCCTAGGAGGCCTTCTACAAGACAGCAACCAGATGCATTTAACATCTGCCTAAGATGAGTATTTTTATCGAAACACCATCTCTAGCCTTTACTCAACCAAGAGCCCCAAGGCAGGGGGTGTTTTATGTCGGAGTTTGCATCTCCTAGCCTTTGCCTAAAAAGGCATATCCTACAAGGCAGCAGGACATGAAGCAGATTGTACTTATTCTAGTGATGATCATAAGTTTTGATCTAAGTTTTATTCTAGTGATAATGTGATCTAGCAATAATAGTGATCTAGTGATAATAGTGATCTAGTGATAATAGTGATCTAAGTACTTAATCTAGCACTTTATACATTTTATTTAATCTAAGTACTTAATCTAGCACTTTATTCTTTTTATTTAATCTAAGTACTTAATTTAAGTTTCTAGTACTTCTAGTTTTTTATTTAATCTAAGTACTTTCACTTCATTCTTTTTAGCATTTGCTAAATTCACTACTAACAATATCAAAGTTATGTCAAATAAATGTTAACAATATCAAAAATGATTACACTAATATCTTAAAATACACTCTAATCATTTTCTAAGATTTTCAACTTGTTTTTACCTTACAACGCAGCACTTTATGGTATGTGTTACTTTACAACACAGGAATTTAGGTATGTTACCTTACTTACCTTATGTCTATTATTATTTTAAATATTGATAATTATATTTTGAAAGTAAAAGTATAATGGTTTGTATTTAAAACAAATGATGTTTTAGGGAGAGGTGTTTAGTGGGTGTAGAGAGGTATTTAGTGGGTGCTTAGAGGTCGAGTGTTGTGATTTTAATTACCATTTCAACCATGTATAAATTTACATTGCAATCAATAAGTTCTTAGTGGTTTTTAACTTTTCTCCTTCTTGATCAAGAACACAAGGGATAAAATAGTAACCATAGTAACTTTTAATACTATTTTTATATATATCTTTACAATTAACTTTGCATTACTATATTAATGAACAAATTTACTAAGTTTATAACTTATCTAAATATTTCTTACTTTACAACAGTTTATTTTATGTAGCAAGCTTTGCCCCATGTACAACCTTCAGCAAAGCGTGAGGGGTTTGCAACTGTGCCTGATGTTTCTTGGAAAGATATTGGAGCATTAGAAGACATCAGAGAAGAACTTACAATGGCAATTATGGTAAAAAAATGTTTTATTATTTTTCCTTTTTTTTTTTTGTTTGGATTTTTTGTTTAATCTTTTCCTAATCAATCAGTTTTATAAATTAATGACTATATTTATTAATCAAAAGGCACCCGTTCATAATCCTGTGGAATTTGAATCGCTGGGACTTGTTACCCCTCCTGGTATATTATTAGCTGGTCCTCCTGGTTGTGGAAAAACTCTTCTAGCTAAGGTATGTTAATATATATTTTTCTTGACAATCAGGGTTGTCTAATTAAATTTAATTTAATTTAAGTGAGGAAACTAATTAAATTTTCTAGTTTTTTTAGAAAATCACAAAAACACAAATTAATAGGCTGAAATGTTTTAAAAATATGTATATGTATATATGTATATATATATATATATATAATATATATATATATATATATATATATATATATATATATATATATATATATATATATATATATATATATATATATATATATATATATATATATATATATATATATATATGTATGTATGTATATATACATGTATATATATATATATATATATATATATATGTATATATATATATATATGTATATATATATATATATATATATATATATATATATATATATATGTATATATATATATATATGTATATAAACAGGGTGGCCCATCTTCAGAAATTTTTGGCAGGGACAATTTTACAACTGAACAAGTGAAAATAATTGGATTTTACTTTAAAAATGGACTGTCAATTGCTACAATGCAAAAAATCGAATATGCGCCATTTTAATGTTCAACATCCCCGTAGTAGGCCTGCAATAATGAACTTAGTGATTTCAAGAGCATAACTCTGTAAGTGGTAGGACTAGAAGTGGACAAGGTTGTTCAGTACATAGACATGAAAATACTAAAGCTGTGAGCCGTAGCATTGAAGAGAACCCAACCACATCCACTCAAAGGCGTTCTCAAGAACATGGCACGGAGTTCTCACGGAGTTCTCTGCAGCGCATTCAAAGAGACTTGTACCCTTGCGCATTCAAAGAGACTTGTACCACATGTACCCTTACAAGATTCAATTAATGCAATCTTTACAACCGCCAGACTTTCAGAAACGGCTAGATTATGCTGTCATGTTTTAGAGAACTGCAAGAAATGATAATGAGTTTATTCACAAGTTAATCAAGTTAATGTTTTCTGTTGGATGAAGTATTACCAAGAAGATTGCGTTGGGGTCTATTTGAACAAAAAGCTTTAATCCAGTTAAGAATTTTACTTTTGATTCCATAGGTTTTTGGAATAGTCTTCTGTGAGGGATCGTTAAAGCTTCGGAAAAGTCAAGAAAAATAGCTTTGAAAGCAGATAAGTTTTTGTGAACGAAATCATTGTTAATAAAGGAGATTATACCGGTTGCGTGTTTGATTAAACAAGGCACAAATTAACCAGATCAAATTTGCCAGATCGCAAAAATGCTGGAAAAGCAACAAATATACTTTAACAAAAATAGTAAAGTTCTTTCATAAGACTCTCACAAATATTATGTTTCAAATATTATTTGTATAAAAAAAATGTGAATTCAGGTAACACAAATACACAATAAAAATTCTTATTGTTATATGTCAAAATCATAAAAAAAATTATTTACTTAATTTGTAGAGATCTAATGGTCTGACCATGAATATTGACTAGAACTGATTGTTTATTATATTGGCAATTAATTTCTATGATGTTTAATATTATCAATTAAAGTCAAAAGTATTATAGTTTTCACCAATTATAAATGTATAAAAACTTGCACAATACAGAAACAGCTGCATATTGTTGAGCTGTCTTTTATAGTTCCAACTTTGTTGCAGTTGAAAATTGTTTTCTGTGCAAATCTAAAAGAAAAAGTAGACATTGTTTCTGGTCTTCATCATTACGGTTGAATGTCAAAGTTGAGTGTCATGATAAAAACAACACCTTTTTCCATCCAATCGTTCTGTGCATGGTATTTAGCTGGATTGGTTGTCTACTCATTTGGTTTCTTTACTAAAAATTGTTCTGTTTTTTATTAGATAGAGAATTTGTTTGCTATTTGTTAGAATAAGTTTGAAGAATTTTGCTGTATACTTTGTTACATAAGCAGACAGTGGTTTCTGATTGTCAAACGACTTGCTATATAGTTGCTTAAAAGCCTTCTGCTTAGAAAGATGTTTTAAATTTTTATTTATATCTTTCTTTGTATTATATCAACACTGGGATTAAAAAAGCCAAACTGATTTAGTTCTCAGAAAAGCGTAGTGATAAATTACTTTTGCCACAGCATCTACAATTATACGGCTTGAATATTCCTGAATCCTGCCAAGAAGTTTATTATTATTTAGAGGTACTCATTTTGCCAGAGAAGCTTAATTCCAAAAATACTTGCATGTAAGTGTGGCAAAATGGTAATGTTTGTGAGTTTTAACAATGTATGATTTTAATAACAATTTTAACAAATATGAGACATTATATAGCCTTTTAAGACATTATATAGTCTTTGCCATCCATCATGTATTATTTGTAGCATCAAGAGCCTGAAAAAAAAATCCCCTAACAAGAATGGTGGTTTGATCCACTTTTATTTTTCCACTGGCAATATCTCATAGAAGTTTTCTGTCCCAGTGCAGAATGAGTGAATTAGAAAGAGTGAATAAAGCTTTATTAACATCAGTCACAGCTTCTCAAATCTCTTGCCTTGCCAGACAGATTGTACTGCATGACAATGATAGCTTCTTAACAGAACGCCTGAGAGACACTGTTCCTTAAACACTGAGAGACACTGTTCCTTAAACACCGAGAGACACTGTTCCTTAAACAAAGAGAGACACTGTTCTTAAAAAAGAGAACACAGCAATCTGAGACATTGTATTAACATGATCAAAAATTTGAAGACAGCAATGTCTTCTTTATCTTTTTTGTTGAACTGCCGCCATTAAAGGAGGATGAGGTATTTTTCATCATTGTCACATTATGAGGAGCTAGAGCAAGTTATAGTTGTTCATTCTATTGCTTACAAAGAATGAATTTTTTTAAAAATCCACATTGCCTGTCAGCGATGTGAACTGTACACAAATTTGGAACAAATCTGGTTCTTCTTGCATTATTAAATATAATTTGTTTTTTTTATTTTTTACGCAACTTTTATCGTTTGTTGACAAGTAAAGATTTTTAATTTTTTTTAATATACAACTGTGTGCATCCTATGTTGACAAGTAAAAGAGTTCTATAAATAAATTTTAAAAACTTCTATTTTCATACGACATCTGTCAAGGTTTTTGGTTCTGTTCTTTTTTAGAAGTTACTCATCATAAGCTTTTTGATTTTTCAACTAGATTGTAAGTATCGCTTCAACTGTAGATCAAATACTCTTTTTTACTTCTTGCTTTTTTTAATTGGTAGAAGTGTCTCTCTTTTAAAAAAAAAAAAATACATATATATATATATATATATATATATATATATATATATATATATATATATATATATATATATATATAACCAAATGGAAATGTATTAAAGCTGGAGTCATTCAAGGGAGTGTTCTTGGACCTATTTTATTTATATCATTGATACATGATGTGAATGATTTTTTACCACCTGAGACAAACCTACAAAAATACGTTGATGACATATTAGCTCACATCATCTATGACAAATATGCAATAAACCTACCTTGTTCTATTGTGGATGGCGTAGTGAACTGGGCTAATGTTAATGGCATAAAACTCAATCATTTAAAATGCAAAATATTATCGATAGAGAGTCATCACCCTAATCAAGTTGAATTCCTTCGCCAATTCTTTTAAACTCTAAACTCGAATCCATTGATTCCTACAAGTACCTAGGAACCCTAATAAACAAAAATCTTATCTGGAATGATCAATGGATAAAAGTTCATAACAAACTTAAGTCAGTACCCTACTTACTAAAACATCTTAAAAAAATTGATAACACTCAATTAAACCTACTTCAAATTTATAAATCCTATGCATCTCACATTCTGTACAGCACCCCTACACTCTCGTCTTGCAGTATTGCAGCAAAAAAAGAGGTACAATTTTTATATATATATACATTTATGTATGTATATGTATATATATATATATATATATATATATATATATATATATATATATATATATATATATATATATTATATATATATATATATATATATATATATATATATATATGTATATATATAGTTATATATATATATATATATATATATATATATATATATATATATATATATATATGTATATATATATATATAACTATAAATAAGTTTTTTAAATGATATATTGCTTGCCCAAACCAAACCCTCAGTCAATGTAGCGGCACTTCCTTGTAGCAGCAGGCTATAAAATAGTCGATGTATTAGCACTCCCTTGTAGCAGCAGGCTATAAGATAGTTGGCGTATTGGCACTCCCTTGTAGCAGCAGGCTATGAGATAGTAGATGTAGCAGTACTTCTTTGTAGCAGCAGGCTCTAACATAGTTGGTGTAGCAGCACTCCTAGTAGCAACAGGCTATAAAATAGTTGATGTAGCAACACTTTGCGTGTGTTTTGCCTATTTGTTAGTCAATGTAGCAACACTCCTTGCATGTTTTAAAAATATTATAAAACAATAGAAAAACAAATAAACACTATAATTAAAAAAACTTTCTTGTATTTAGTCTTACGGTTTTTTAAATAATAATAAAAGTTAGTATACTTATACATTTTCCGCATCATTTTATTTGTTTTAACTTTTAGACAATATTAAAATGATACTTTATATTGATGTCATTTAAATGTTGTTGAAAGTGACTTTTACCATAAAGGTCTCTTTCAAATACAGTATAAGAATATATATATATATATATATATATATATATATATATATATATATATATATATATACATATATATATATATATATATATATATATATATATATATATATATATATATATATATATCTGTGTGTGTGTTTTTTATTTTAGGCTATTGCAAATGAAGCTGGGATTAATTTTATTTCTGTTAAAGGTCCAGAGCTTCTAAATATGGTTAGTGATGATTTTCCTTTGCATTTAGTTATTATAAATAAAATTAATGTAGTAAATTGTATAACTGTTGAAATCAGCCCAAAAGTATTAAAGAGTTGATAGAATATTAAAATACTTTTATAAGTTCATCTCTAAGATTTTAAAAACTAATAGTTAGTAATATTTTTATAATACTTTTAGTTAATAATAAGTTATTAATAATTAATTATAAAATTAGTAATATTTATATAATATACATTTATTAATATTATCATTTATATAATTCATATAAAGTTTGAGTAACAGTTTATAATAATAATAAAATATATGTATATATATTTTTAAACATCTACACTTCCAACAAGGCTGCAAGCAATCACTATTAGAGTGCTATGTAGGGAGCAAATTCCAAAGAACTGATGTTCAAAGAATAAGACTAGATAAAAAAAGTATTGTGGAGCACTTAGGAACAGTCACAGTAAAAGGATGAGACTTCATTGGATGATATGAGCATGAGAAGGAATTATAATAGATGGCACAAAAGAGGCTAGCTCTTTAGAAAAGCATCCATTCTAGTATTTATAGAAAAGATAAAGTGGCAGTGGTTGAAGGTTGACTATAAGAGCTGGTTCAACTGTGTTAACAATGCGTTTTTGCACCTAGACTGTAAGAGATAGGGCATCACTCGAAAATCCACTCCAGATATGGCAACATTATTTCATAAAAGGTCGGATTTAAGATTTGTAGATATAAAGAATAGAATCCTGACTAAGAAAGTGTCCAGCATGATAAAGAGATGCAACCTTAGCAGATGCTAATTTTGCAATTGATTTGATATATGGTTTCCAAGAAAGTTCTAGGGTAAAAGTTAATCCTAGAAGATGAAGGGTAAATGATTCATTACAGTACATTACAGTTCATAATAAAGGAAGATCTAGATTATTGTGATAACGGTTAGCTGAAAAAAATTTGGTTTTATCTAAGTTAAGTTCACCAGACACTGAGAGCCCCATGCTGTAGCAAAAGTAAGATCCTTTCAATTTTCAAATCAAAATCTTATGCCCCCTCCAAGCAATCAGAGTGTGTTGGCTTTTTATCGAGATAAGAATAAGTAGTAATATCATCAGTGAACAGTCACCTTAGATGTGAAAATTTCAGGGAGATCATTAATGTTATATGGGCTTATTACAAAAAGTTTTTAGTGCCATTATAATTTCACGGTTAATATGAATCCTGGTAATGCAAACTTAGCTGGCCCAAGAAAGCCCCATGGACACTTACAGATATGGTATCCTTTAATGCAAATTTAAAAAAATTTTAATTTTGCAGAAAAAATTAATTTTTCAAATTGAGTAAAATTTTAACTTAATAAAAAACGTTATAAAACCTGTAGACTGAAAACCACTCTATATAATGAAGTTTTTAGTTTAAGGTTTGTTAGTTTTACTACCTATACTTCAAAACGTTACCAATTACTGTGATATTTGGTAATACTTTCAAATTAAGGGTTACAATTTCAAATTAATGATGTTTTAGTATGTAATACTAATAATTTTTATTAAAAGTTTTTAATTGGCACATGTGCTATTTTCATTTTATTGACCTAAATATTAATTTGCTTTTTAAAGCATGATTTTGCCTACGCATAGTGTAAAATTATCATTTTTAATGGTATAAACTACTGTCAAAATGCATAAAAATGCTAAAAAATGGTCAAATTTAAACTAATTTAAATGATTATTTCCTTGTAAGGAAATAATTATTTCTTTGTAATGTAAGTAAATGTTTCCTTGATTTTAATTTTTAATTAATAGTATTTATAAGTATTTTTAGTGGATTGTTAACCAATATAAATTTAGGTTAAATTTTGTAAAAAGGAAAAGTTTGATATAGTGATGTTAGATTTAGTGATTGCCACAATGCCAAATCAAGACTAGATTCATGATAAAATTGAAAGTTTGTGTGCTTGCTCTGTCTAAAAAAATGTTTAAGACAGGTTATTGCTATCCAAGCAGATTGAATATAAGATTAATATAAGCAGGTTGAATAAGCTAATTTGATAAGTAGATTTGCCAACTGTACAAAACCAAGATCAGTATCAGCAATTATTAGGTGCCACAAGGACTCTGCAAATTATGCAAAACTACTTTGTTCAGGAAACAAGAGGGAAAAGAAGTTGCACTCCCACCTTTGTTTGATTTCAAGTCAATACAAGTGGTTCCTGAAACTAGAGGATGTGTTGTTGCCTTTGTCTGCCAAATTGGTTGTTCAAAGTTGAAAGAGAATCATCCTCTTAAAGAGCAAAACCACTATTAATAAAAAACCAAGTGTGCTTTGCAAGGCATTTCTCAGCCCTTTAGATAAAGGTTTATTCCACCAATCCTCTCAAATAAAGTTTAGAGAAAACCTTCAATCTTCAGCAGCAAAACATGCCAAAGCAGCTAAATCAATTGCATATTGAGTTATTTTCAATAAAGACTTTTCTATGGATGGAACTGTTTAATTTAACTTTAAAATTTAAGTTAAATTGCTTAAGCTTAAAAATTACCAGCAGAAAAAGAGATTCTGATACAATGATTGTTGCAATGATTTAATAAGTCTTGTGAGTGTTATTCAATCTTGCAAAATTTCTGATGGTTATTTTGTTAAGCTAGGAATTGATGGTGGCATAGTTTTCTCCTAACGTAATTGTTAACAAAATTGTAAATGAACAAATTGGTGACTCATTAATGCAAATGAAGGTAAACTAATTTTGGCTTGTAATATGAGTGTTGCAAATATAATGTGGTCCACCAACCCTGACGTCAGTTTTAAGTGTCTTGCCAAATCTAGAAACTTGCAAACACTGGATAAATTTAGGGTTCGAAAAATTTGTATGCGTAGATATTTGCCGATAAATTGTGCGTATACAGTCGCATAGTTATGTGCATAATTTTTTTTCCCTTTCAAATCATTAAAAACCGTTAAATCGTTTTGACTAGACAGACAGACAAAAAAACGAGTTGTAATTCTAGTTTTGATGAAATTTTCAATTAATGTATTTTTGAAACCTAAAAATGATCAGTTTTAATAGTGAAATTCAAAGTTAACAACTGTTAATTCCATTATTAAATCTCTTTAATTAATTTTATATTTGAAGTTATTATTAAATTAAAGAGATAAGTTAAACAATAAAAAACTCAAAGAGACGTTTTTCAACAAACAGAAAGACAATGGAAAACTTTACAATAAATAGATATTTGCAAAATCTCAATACAGTAAAAAGAATTTTTGTATTAAGGCATCAAATATAAATCTGTTTTTCTATACTTCAATCAACACAGCGGGCATAATTAAAAATGCTGCAGCTGTTGCTAGTGCTGTCATTGAAGTAATCGAGAATCGCTCCATTAAAGTTCATAAGCATTATCACTGACAACGCTCCAGTAATGAAAGCTGCTTGGAAATTAATTTTTAAAAAATTTCCACACATCTCAACATATGGCTGTACAGCACATGGTATGAATCTTCTTGTTAAGGACATTTTGAGTGCTGAAAGTTCAAAGACCATCAAAAAAGCTGAAAAAATATAAGTTTATGAAAAATTATCACATTGTTAAAGTTTGATAAAAAGAGAAATGCAGCTAATATTCATTGCTCACTCACAATGCCTGTTTCGACTTGATGGCTCAGTCATTTTAATTCAATGAACAACCTTTTTATGGCAAAGTATGTTTTAATTCAACTTGCGGATAAGGAAAATGGGTCTTAGAAAGAAATTGCTCCAAAAACAAATTCCATCGCTGTTTTGATGCTAATTAAATCAAATGCTTTCTGGGATAGTTTGGCAAAATTTGTGAAAGATATCAAATATTCTTCTAACATCATTGGAAGACTTAAAAATGATGATGCTCCATTATCTTTGGTGTACTATTACTTTGGTGAAATGTACAAGAAATTCACAAATGAGGAAAATATTCAGGAAATGGTTATGAAGTGCTTTAAATTCCTTATCACCTCAAATATAAGAATTGCCTATATGCTGACACCAAAGTATGCTGCAGAAGGATTCTATTTTGGTGAGGATAAGTCTGATATAATCAGTTCTATTTCAGAATTAGCCTCCAAAACAAATCCAACAGTTACTGAGACAGTTGAAAGTGAAATGATTGAGTTTGTTCGAGAAATGAATACACTGATAGAAAAAAGAAGACCCAATTTTCAAAATGAGTGCAAAGAATTATTAGAACATTGTTGGTCGTCAGAAATATCCAGCAGTGTTTAAAGTTGCAAAATCTATTGTTGAAATGATTTGTTTGTCAGCAATAGAGAAGAAATGATTTGTTTGTCAGCAACAAATGATTTGTTTGTCAGCAATAGAGAAGAAATGATTTGTTTGTCAGCAACAAATGATTTGTTTGTCAGCAATAGAGAAGAAATGATTTGTTTGTCAGCAACAAATGATTTGTTTGTCAGCAATAGAGAAGAAATGATTTGTTTGTCAGCAACAAATGATTTGTTCGTCAGCAACAGCAGAGAGAACTTGATCAATTTTTCGATTTATAAATTCGTGATTAAGAAATCGCTTGACAAACAAACGCGTAAAAAAATTAGTTTTCATATATACCAATAGTGTTTTGATGGATAGAAACGACAAAAATGACTACATTTTAAAGGGAGGAGCAGTTCTCAGGGAATTTGAGTGTGAAGAAATTTTAAATGAGCAAATGTAATACAAAAACAAATTAAGTTGCCAAGTTTTGTAATATAAAAGTTTCTTTAAAAATCATGAAAATAAAAATCATTTTCTTCTATATTTGACAATATTTAATTAATTTCAAACACCATTTATTGGTTAAATTTGTATGCGCATCATATGCATATTATATATTTGCCGATATACACACAAGTTCTGAACTCTAGATAAATCAAATTTAGCCTCAAGTCTTTTCAGCAATCTGGCAGGCTAATGCAAAGCTGCTTGGCAAATTGTTTGAAAGACAATCATAAGCAGGCTTAACAATGTTCTGATTTAGGAATTT